CCTGTGTCTCCAGGGCAGAAATGAAAGGAAATCTCCCCAAAGGAACTAACAAGAGCATCCTACTCTGTCCAAACCTAAAGATAAAAGGTCTGGTTTTAGATACATTTTAAAGTGGAGTCATTTTGCTATGTTTAATGGGAGACAATATGACATTAAAAAACAAAATGTTGAAAATAGGGCTGAAATCATATTTTAAATTGTGTAGTAAATGTAGTAAATAATAGATGTATGATAAGGGGTTACATTTGATTACTGGTAATATTTTCACTACTAAAAATAACCTACTGTAATCACATTTATGTCTTTACTATACAGGATTCCCAAACTTTTTGCCAGACCTTTTATTCTAGTCCAGCTTCATCAAGAACAGTTCTCCAATTATTTGTAAAGGATTAACAACCATCACAATCCTAGATTATTTAAAATAGATTTTAAATAATTATAGGGCAATACAGTATTTCTTATATAATCACTGTTCGACAAATTTTTATTTTTTGCAAGTTTTGGAAACAAAAGGATCCATTTCTTAATGAATTTCACATTCTGAGTTCAAATATAACAATGAAATTTGTCAATTGGCTCTAGTTTTTCTGTAAACGGAAAGTTTTCTACTATAGGCGTAATGACTACATAATGCACAATAATTATATAGATAGATGTCTTTCCACAAATATAAAGCAAGTGATATTGACTACATAACAAAGCCTAAATGGCATAATATATTACATAGGATTACCAAGAAAAATTATAGCCATAAGCTAAGTTGAATCATTTTAATACTTAGTATTCTCACTAGTTTTGTCTTCAGTTTGTGTCGGTTTTGCTTCTCTTGGCTTTTCTCTTGTATTCGAGGAAAGGGCTATCTCTTACAACTGCACGTGACTACACGCTTCAGGTTCTTCCTCACTTGACTCAACCACGAAGGATTCTGGTGCTTTAGGAATTGGTAGCCCCTCTCCATGAGGAATTGGACGTATTGCCGATGGAATATTTGGATAGTGCACAGATAACTTTTTCTTCTTATTTAGCCCTTTTACAATTGGAGGCACCATACAAAAGTAACAATTACTAACATGATCTGTTGGCTCTCTCCAAATCATTGGCACAGCGAAAGGCATAGATGCCTTTTTTCCATTCAACCATTGCTCCAGTGCCGTCCCACAAGAATTGCAGCATATATGTGGTGCCCAGCTCTTGTCCTGGTCTCCTATCTTGCAGCCAAAATACAAGTTGTAGGCTTTCTTAATCATTCCTGTTATCCTCCTTTTTTGTGAGATAAAAGTTATTTCACCGCAGATATAGCAGAAATTATCTGCTTTATGCACACAAGTTCGAGGCATTACTGAGTAGCCTATATAAGCATAAAACGAAATGTAAAGACGCTGTCGAACTACAATCAGCTAGAGATACTGCAGCTTTTATGCAGTAAAGTGATGCAATTAAAGGCTAATATTGCATCATCTCAGTATACATGCAATTTTCTATTGGTCACCAGTATCAATTGCGCAATATGCAGCTGAAGTTGCATCATAATTTTGAATGGCTTATGTCATTAGATGGGTGAATATATCATGGAAACTAGAGCCAATCAACATTTTTTAGGGTCATTTTCGTTTTCAGCACCCCAAAATTATGTAAGATTAGCTAATTTTATGCCCAAAACGTTTTACCTGTTGAACAGTGTAATATGTGTGTACACTGATTATAAAAAAAAAAAAACGATATATTAAACAAATAGTAAGGAAAAAAAGTTCATGCGCATGCTCAAATTACTGCACACTCACACGGAATGGTCCACAGAACAGAACGTTGACTTTGATGCTCAGTGGCCTATTTAACGCACTTCAAGACTCAAGATAATCACTAAGTGGTCATCCGCTCTTGTGACCCATAACCAGACCCTGCCTATTCCTGTGATATACCTTTGTATTCTGACTAAACCTATTCTTGATCCCTTCGGTACTTGGCTTGTTTCTCGATTACGCATCCTGTTTGTTACTTTGGCTCATCTTCTGCTTGTGTGATACTGACCTTGGTCTGGCTCCTGTTTATGCTCTCATCTTCAGAATCTGTACCTCAACGACCTGTCTGTTGTCAATCTCTGTCTGTCTGATCACGTTCCTGCCTCCTGCTTCTGCAAGCCCTATAACATCCAGCAGTTTCTGTTCTTGAGCTGCACTACTAGATCATCTTCTTCTGCTTCCCAGGACTTACTACAGGCGTCTGAGCCTTTTCATGTTCTGTCCTACCCTGTCACCAATTCCAGGGGTAAACAGGAAAGAAGGTGTAAGAATGAGCCCTCTCATTATTTCAGCCTCCACTATGTACTGTGTGTGATACCATTATAGTACAATATGCCTTTTATAATATGTTTTAAATAATAATGTCACCCAGAATTTAATTTACTTTTACCATGTATATCTATTTACAGGGCTTCATGTTATTAAATAATTTGTTTACACCTCCTATATGTACCTAACAGGTAGTAATAGTTTTTGGTTTTTCATGGGTTAGACTACTGATTTTCTAGGCTCACGTCCCACCTGGGAGGTTTTATGTAAGGTTTTTAAAGGTCCTTACATATAGGGAGTCTATTTATAAAAAAAAAGTTAATTTGTGAATGTCTGAACATTCATGCAAACGTAACACATAATACTGTAATGATTGTAATATTTATGTAATAATTTCCTTTTTGCCTTTCACCGGGCGAATGTATCTTTACCAAACATTTCGTCCTAATAGAGAAATAGCTATAAGAACATTCAACCATAAGAGTTAACATTCACCAATAGAGAAAATAGCTTAACACTAAGGCTAGCCATACATTATACAATTATCTTCCAATTTTCTGCCCAATTTCCTTTAGATTTACCTTCAACTGTGTAGTGCAAGGGCCTGCCTAATTGGATACAACTGAAAGTGTTGTTTAGGTTTGTCCTCCTATTATATGGGTTTTTGGTAAATCTAAACCAAAAATCTCCAGATAATTGTATAATGTATGGCCAGCCTTAGGCTAAGAACATTCGACCAGTAAGGGAAATATTAGGGAGACCTCTGTACTGTGTACAGTCTATGAAGAATCTTGTGTGAACAGCAGAATGGATTGGTGTTCAGCTAAGTGAACCTCCAGGTGCAGTGGGAACAAAACAATGATCATTGGTATTATTACCACTGCTAAATGTGACAGCTTCCTCCAATTTATATATGTATTTTATGATATAGATGTAGCACATTCTACAAAGGTTTTTAACTATTTACAATTTTCCATTTTATTTTATAAAGTCTTAAAAGAGAAGTATGGATCCGATGCTGCAGTGTCCTCCACCGGCTCTACAGTTAGAGTTGAGCAATCAAAGACCGCTGATCACTCAGTTCTCCCCCTCTGCTCTGAGCAGAGAGCCGTGACTGTCAGTTGTCAGTACAGGCTTCTGTGTGGATCCTGACTATATCATTATGATCCTTTCAGAGCCTGGTCCGGCTCTGTGACATCAGCTGACAGCAGGCTTTAGCACTCCTGTGATTCATAGGAAAAGTATTGCCAAAATAGCTTTGGCTATACTTCTCCTTTTATGTGTATATTTCACCTGGTTACTGTGCCATACCACTATATGTCATGACTTAATGTTATTCTAGGTGTTTTATAGCTTTGCAGCCATAATGAGTGTAGCTACTATAGCACATAAAGTGCTTTATGGCAAGATCGTCACTAGAAAATAAAAGAAAAAAGGTTGATAATGCAGCCATCATCAAATCTGGTAAACTGCGATATATTACATTTTTGCTTTTGCGTTTAGCTACACTTTAACTGTCAAAGACAGATTTGTGTAGACGCATCTACAAGTTCTAAAAGCACAGATGCAAAAAAATAAAATTGAGATCATTTGGTGATTTTATATAGTGTTTCTTCATTAATTCCCGGATATCTCTAATTATACTGTATAATTTAATTACATTATGATATCATAATCTGTAAGTTTTAATTATATACATGATCCTACTTATAGATTAAGCTAAACAGAGAGTAGACAATTAGGTTTTATTACTTAGTCAAACATCAACCAGCCGCTAGTGTACAAACAAATTAGGGCAACCTATTGAAGAGCACCGTCTTTTTTACATATACACTATATTGTCAAAAGTATTGGGACACCTGCCTTTTACACGCACATGGACTTTAATGGCATCCCAGTCTTAGTCCGTAGGGTTCAATATTGAGTTGGCCCGCCCTTTGCAGCTATAACAGCTTCAACTCTTCTGGGAAGGCTATCCAGGTTTAGGAGTGTGTCTATGAGAATGTTTGACCATTCTTCCAGAAGTGCATTTGTGAGGTCAGGCACTGATGTCGAACAAGAAGGCCTGGCTCCCAGTCTCCGCTGTAATTCATCCCAAAGGTGTTCTATTGGGTTGAGGTCAGGACTCTGTCCAGGCCAGTCAATTTGCTCCACTCCTCGCTCATCCATGTCTTTATGGACTTTGCTTTGTGCATTTGTGTGCAGTAATGTTGGAACAGGAAGGGGCAAGCCCCAAACTGTTCTCACAAAGTTGGGAGCATGAAATTGTCCAAAATGTCTTGGTATGCTGACGCCTTAAGAGTTCCCTTCACTGGAACTAAGGGGCCAAGCCCAACCTCTAAAAAACAACCCCACACCATAATCCCCCCTCCACCAAACTTTACACTTGGCACAATGCAGTCAGGTAAGTCCTGTTCTAGCAACCGCCAAATCCAGACAAACCCATCAGTTTGCCAGACAGAGAAGCGTGATTCGTCACTCCAGAGAACATGTCTCCACTGCTCTAGAGTCCAGTGGCAGCAGGGGGCGGACTGACCGTTTGGAAACTCGGGCACTGCCCGAGGGCCCGGGGTCAGTAGGGGGCCCCATGAGATGCCCCTGGTTCCTTTTTCATAGGCTTTTTTGAGTTTGGGCAAGGACACAGGGGCCCCATGATCCCCTATTGCCCGGGGGCCCCATGAGTTATCAGTCCGCCCCTGAGTGGCAGCATGCTTTACACTACTGCATCCAAAGCTTTGCATTGCACTTGGTGATGTAAGGCTTGGATGCAGCTGCTCGGCCATGGAAACCCATTTCATGAAGCTCTCTATACACTGTTGTTGTGCTAATCTGAAGGCCACATGAAGTTTGGAGGTCTTTAGCAGACAGTTGGCGACTTCTGCGCACTGTGCACTTCAGCATGCGCTGACCCCCGATCTGTCATTTTACATGGCCTACCACTTTGTGGCTGAGTTGCTGTTGTTCCCAGTTGCTTCCACTTTGTTATAATACCACTAACAGTTGACTGTGGAATATTTAGTAGCAAGGAAATTTCATGGATGAACTTGCACAGGTGGCAACCTATCACGGTACCACATTTGAATTCACTGAGCTCCTGAGCGTGACCCATTCTTTTACAAATGTTTGTAGAAGCAGTCTGCATGCCTTGATGCTTCATTTTATAAACCTGTGGTCATGGAGGTAATTGGAACACCTGAATCCAATGATTTGGAAGGGTGTTCCACTACTTTTGGCAATATAGTGTACTTGTGATTGAAACCATTTTTGTACATTTACATATCCTTAGAGAAAAGGTATTTTATGCTCCATGATCAAACAATGAACTTATTATAACATCCATTACATGTATTTGACAACATATTGATTGTTTTCAACAGGAGAGCAGCCAAGCTTCAAATGTGTTATTTTTGCATTGTAAAGAACAATGTCAATTAACATCCCATAACAAGATTAAACTGCTTGTAGATGTTTAATTAAAAATCAATGATGCCAAGATAAGGTTGTCTCTTCAGAGCTAGATTTGTTTTAGGCTTTGCTCTGTCGATAACTGGGCCCCAGGTCTACTCCAAAATCACATAAACATCTGAAAGGTCAACATGAACGTTTTAGCAGTCAGTTTATAAAATACCACAAGACAGAGCACTCTCGCTCATCTTAAAGGACCACTAAACCTAAAATACAAGTTGACTTGTTGAGGTATAACTTCCTACTAAGGGACCTGCATGTCACTGTTTAGAATTAATCTGAACCACCATGTTTGGACGTATATTACAACTTTACCCATACCTTCCAGTTGCACTGCATAAAAGAAGCATATTGACTTAATCCATAGACAGATAAAGTCTGAATATGTGCAGTTCAGTGTACATTCTCACCATGCCTTGGTGCCAGGATGAATTAAATCTTATGCACTTGTGCTGGAGTTATGTCATCCCAAACCAGCAATCAAACATTCACTATTTTTAGCTTGCAGTTTTAAAGTGTTTGCATTAAAAAAACTTTAAATAGTAATGTACAGCTATTTGGAAAAATTATGCTGTTGCTGTGTGTTTTGACTTATTAGTATTGTATTCCTGTTACCAAAAGGTCCATTTTAAGTGATGAAAACCTAATGAAGCCTTTCTCATTCTTTTAACTATGGAAGACCCTTGGAATATGTTTAGGTCTCTGGAACGCTTGTTAGAAATTGTCTATCGAAATTATTTATCTACAGTTCACGGTGTGATCAGTAAGTTGTAGATATAATGAAAAATAGAATAATAAAGAACGTGCTTGCGATTCCTTACATTACAGGTTAGCATAAAAGTACCCTGGCCATTGGTGGTCAGTGTAGTACTTGCTTGCTGGTCAGCAGAGCAGGTCCCCCTTACATTGATGGTCAGTGGAAGAGATGCCCACTTTGATTGCCTCCATTTTTGATAGCTTAAAAGATCAATATTGTATTTGGCTACTCTACTTGTCCCACGTGCTGGCACTATGCAGGCAGTCTGGTGGGTTATTAATATGCCATTGTTCAAGAAACCCCTAGAAACCTGAGAAAGGCTGACCTAATGTAAAGCTCAATAAACTAATTAATAATAGTGAATAACCATATAATTTAGAAATGTATTGTCATCCAATAACTTTGACAAATTTAATATTTAACCCTTGATTGTACAGCCTACTGTACAGGTACCCCCCTCTCCCCCAAGGGCCATCGACTGGTGATGATGAAACATGATTAAAGTAAACTAAAACCATATATAAACCATGCATGCCACATAATTATAACTCATATTTTATAAACTATAACAAAGTGCAAAAGAAAGTCCAATTTAATGTCCCAGTTTTTGCAAAGTGCCTGTATACATGTCTCTTGGGCTCTACTTGACAGTGCATTTTGTGCCCCACATAGGCTTACATTCACTATATGTGGTTGACCATCTATCTCTAGTATGGTCAAAAAATGCACTGTCAAGTGGAGCACCAAGATATAGGTATACAAGCATGGGCACTTTGCACAAATTAGGGCATTATATTGAACTTTCTTTTGCACTTTATTTGTTATAGTTTATGAAATATGAGTTATAATTATGTGGCATGCACAGTTTATATATGGTTTTAGTTGATGTATTCTATGTGACATAGCACAATTTTTAACTGCAAGTAGTCAAGTCATTTTTTTATAGCACAAATGTATCCAAGGCACAGAGCTATATTTTATTTTATTTTTTTGTGATTACAGTAATGTCACACAGATAATGATGATGATCAGAATTATTTTCCTGATTGTGTAGAGTCTGCCAACAGACACACTTTGATGGTTTCATACACACTGGCTCAGTAACCAGTCTAGGGGATGTCTTTTTGGATTTTAATGCTGAATAACTGAGGAGGGGAGTAGGGCATGGGATAACCAATAAGTTCAGTTTCAAAGAGGATACTGACTTCACTGTCCTAAAAAAATAACATAATTTGACTGGAAGGGAAAGCCCAGATTATGGGTAGCAGAACATTCTTTACCCTGTAACATTATATTGGCTCTGATATCCTTGCAGAAACAACATCACCCAGATCAGCAGTCCTTTACTCATGAGGCCAAAGACTTAGCTTCCTGATGCCTTCCAGTGAGGTGATAGTAGACTGGATTCTCAGAGGTGAAGTCCCAGAAGTTTTTCTATAGTTGCAGGTAGGGTTCTGACACCGCCAGGACCCACAGCAACTGAATAGCAAATGAACCAATGACACAACTTTCAGACATGCAGCTTTTTCAGCTGGTAAATCTCTTAGGCCAGATGTGTATGTTTGTGTTCCAAAAGGCAGGCTAGGCCCCAGTGAGGCTACTGTGCCTGGCAGCATGAACCATCCAGCAGCAACTCCTCAGGCCTCAACAAGGGAGCTAGCATGTGGTTTTCCAAATATTTATACTCTCCTCCATCATGCCTCAGTGGATTGAACCTCCTACTGGGATGACCAGGAGGAAATAAATATTCATAACTCAGTTAAGCAGAAATCTTCATATTATGGACAGTGGATTGATGGCCTGTGCTCGTGACAGTGAGAACCGCAAACCTTCTGAGATTACAGAGAAACCAAATGCCATCTACACAAATCAGACTGGGTTAACTACCATCCAGCTAAAAACTTAATTTACCTATTTCTGAGTAACCTAATTACGAAGGAGCTACACTACTCATAGAATTTTCCTGTCAAAACAGAAATTCAACGTGCCAGAAAAATGTGGGTTAATTTTAGGAAATTTAAAAAAAGCTAGTTACTGGAAACTCAAGTTATTTTAACTTCAAACAGCTAATCTGAGAGTAAAAGTTTTCTTGCACAATTGTGGCATGGAATTGTCACATGGCTACTGTTAAATGGTGACAATGTGGTACAGTCCGCCAATAAGTGACCCGTGTGACCTCCTGCAACACATGTCTAGTTATCCACACCTGTCTGATAGGTTAGGTGTTAGGAGAGCAAGCTGGGGATATAATATAACTAGCATTTATAGTTTGGCTACAGTATGCTTTAACATTATGAGTTGGTGCTTGTGTTTTATAGTCAATAAAATATAGTTTTTATTTACTGTGCTTAAAAAATGTTAATACTGACTTCACATAAATGACCATGCAAAAGAATATATTATTTTTTTTAATCTGAAGCATTTCTTGTCCTTTCAGATGCAAGAAGTATGCTTTAGATCGGGAGTCTTTTTTTATTAAAAAGAATCAATGAGAGGGTTTATATTTCTGGATGCAGTTACATCGTAGTAATCAGAATGGAGACTGAGATCAGTCACAAATAAAGTAATTGCAGCAAAGGACAGTTGCTAAAGCTCTAATTGAACCTTTTTCCGCTACAGTGACTTGCTAGAGCTGCCCCAGCTTGTAATTCATAGCAATGGCTTGAACCTGTGTCTAATCTATTATTTTAGTTTAATTAAGTTCCGTGCTACATGTCACTGATGCTGAGAGGTCAGAGCTGACAATCTAGCCAGAAGATATTAAACCACAAGAGAAGGTGACTTTTGCATATGTTATTAGTATTTTGCATACAGTAAAGTCAAAGAAAAATTAGTGAGATGCATATTAAGGAGAACCCCTACTCAAAGGGTAACATTTGTGAACAGACTTATTTATTAGGTACTTATATAGCGCTGTCAATTTTCCACAGCACTGTACACTGACATTAGTCCCTAGCCCTCAAGGAGCGTACAATCTAAGGTCACCAACTCACATTCATACATACACATATTAGGGCCAATTTAGACAGGATCCAATTAACCTACCAGCATGTCTTTGGAGTGTGATAAGAAACCAGAGTACCCGGAGGAAAGCCACACAGACAGAACATGGAAACTTCAGGCAGGTGGTGCCGTGGTTGGTATTCAAACTGACGACCCTAGTGCTGCTAGATAGAAGTGCTAACCACTTATCGACTGTACTTGCTGGGATGGATAAAAAAATTGTAACAAAAAGAGGTTAAAGATTTACCTTTCCTGGAAAAATTGCTACTTTAGAATCCCTCAGGGCTGTTCATATAGTGAAAAGCATAGGCAGTTGGTCACATAATCAAGATTTATCTAAACGTCCACCCTTTTCTTCCACAGAGATATGCTTAAAACAGAAGTATGGCAAAAACATTTTTGGTCATGCGTCTCTTTTGGGTCCCAGAAGTTCACTTACTTTTCCTAAAGCCCGCTGTCAGCTGATGTCACAGAGCAGCTCCAGGCTTTCGAAGGATCATAGACCATTAAAAGCTGAATCCGCCTCTGAGTGCAAGACTAAGAGCCAAAGCCAGCTGCTCTCCAATCTCCAGCCTGGCCCTCCAGTGAGCAGTTGGGAGGGCAGAGCAGAGAGCTAGTGACTGACAGTGACCTTCTCTCTAATTCAGGGAGACTGAGAGCAGAGCAAAAACACAGATGCTGCATAGAAGTGAGTATGTACAGTGAAGGAAATAAGTATTTGATCTCCTGCTGATTTTGAATGTTTGCCCACTCACAAAGAAATGATCAGTCTAAAAATCAAATGGTAGCTGTATTGTAACACTGAGAGACAGAATAGCAACAAAAAATTCAAAAGAAATGCATGTCTAACAAATTATGCACTGATTTGCATGTTCATGAGGGAAATAAGTATTTGATCCCCTATCATTCAGCAGGAT